AGAGGATGGGTGCTTTGGCCCACCTCCCCTGCACTTGTCATTGTCCACCGGCCCCTGCGTCCACCCACCACCTGTCTAGAGGCACACACTCTACAGAGCCTCACGGGTCCTGCCCTCAGGGAACAGCTCATTCATTTGTACTAGTGTGGTGGAAGGGTTTGAACTAGTCCGTTCAGAAAAGCCTCGAAAATCCACGAGCGCTCTTCAAAGTTTCTACTAGGGCTCCCTGGGAGAGCTCCGTGCTCAGCAAGTGGTGCAGGGAGCATGGGCTCTGCACCTGGACAGATCCTGGGGGACCCCAGGGGCGTGCGTGCTCTTGGGCGAGTGAGCTCATCTCTCGACCCTTCTGCTTACTCATCTGTAAAGGAGTAAGGCTGGACAGCTAGGTGGGAAGCACCCGGCACAGGGCCTGGTTCCCAGTGCCTGACACCCTGCCCTCAGAAAGAGCTGCAGGAGCCGCTGTGCCCAGCAGATGCACACCAGCTGTGACGGGGAACGGGCTGAATGGGGTGCAGAGTCAGGGGAGGGGGGGGGGCCCGGTGAGTGGGCATGAGGGCAGCTGCTTCTGGGAAAGCAGAGATGGGAGTCCACGCCTCTACCCAGCAGACCTTCCCCAGAGGAACGGGAGCGCGGCAGGCATCCCTCCAGCTCCTGCCTCCCAGGGCGTTCTTCCCCGGAAGCGTCAGAATGTCGGGGTCAGGGAGTCCGACAACTAGAACTGTGCTGTCACCAGGTGGTCCATATCTGGGGAGTTCCAGCGGTGGGGACAGCCTCGGGGAACCAGAGGACTCCGAGTCGTGTGGGTTTAGGTGGCAGGGCTGCGTCAGGCCGCCTGGCTGACCCGTCCCCTAGGAGCCCTCCGGTGCTCTGGCAACGACAGAGCCCTGGGTTTGTTTCCTGGAAGCGCCAGTTTTTAGCTCTGTGCACGTGGGGCTGTTATTTCAGCTGGGGCCCTCAGGGTTTTCATCTGTAAAATGGGAAGAGTACCTATTCTGCAGGGCTGCGGTGAGGATCAGGGGCTATCACCATGTGGGAGCTGTGCGCATACCCCGAACCCGGGCCACAGCACGGACTTCGCATTGGTCAGGCCCCAGCGGCTCCAGACATGACTAGTGAAGGAAATGGTACAAATGCCGTCGTCTTCAGTGGGCTGCCTGAGCCAGACCTACTTCTTGCTCCCCTTTGTTTACAAATAAAAACCCTCTGAGGTCCTCGCCGGTGATTATGTCCATGGCCAGCCAGCAGGGAGTGCAGGAGATGAGAGCCACCGCTTCCTCTCACCCCCAAATTACACGGGTGCAGGCTGGTCATGTGGATTCTGATGCACAAGGCAGGGGTGGGTAGGGCTGGGTCTCTTATGATCACCAACCAAGGGCGCTCAGAAGACAGTCAACGGAAACACGGCCACATCACACAGAGACAGAGGCAGACCTTGCTGCTTCGAACAAGCTCATTTCTGGGACAAACTGAGAGCCTCTCCGCTGGTGAGTCATTTGTCTTCTTGTTTATAGAGTTCAAAGGCAAGTACTAATCTCAGGCTGCTGGGGTCCTCTGATCCCTGCCTGCGGTGCAGTGTGGGGTAAAATGCCCAGGCTTTAGAGCTCGGCTGCTCTCGGTTCGAATTCTGCCTCTGCCCCACGACCTGAGAACTGTGAAGTGACTTAACACGGTTCTGGGCACAGGGCAAGTGCTCGTAAGCTGATGGTATTGGTAGTGCCGTCCCAGGGAGATGGGAGAGTCTAGCCACTGGCCACATCTGTCCGCTGAATAATCTCTCATTCTTGGTTTTTGTTTCTTTTGCATTATAATTTAGAACACAGGCTCTCAGATAGTTGTCTTGTTTCTTCTCCCCATGTAAGTCAATATACCAATGCAAAAACTTCGGAAAAGGTAGAAAAACATAAAGGGAGAAGGGAAATAAGTCATCTTGAATTCCACAGCTAGAGGCAAACTGTTGATAAATTCTGGGCAGGTTTTTTTTATGTTTTAAAAAATATAGTCAAAATTGGGGTGGCTGGCTGGCTCAGTTGGTAGAACATTCGACTCTTGATCTCAGGGTCGTGAGTTCAAGTCCCATGTTGGACGTGGAACCTACTTTAAAATATGTAAATATATATATATATCAAAATCACATAGCTCATCGTGGATTCTTTTTTTTTTTTTAATTTGGGGGGGTACGGGCAGAGAGAGAGGGAGAGAGAGAATCATAAGCTCCCTACACCCAGCAGAGCCCCACGTGGGGCTTGATCTCAGGACTCTGAGATCATGACCTGAGCCGAAACCAAGAGTCTGAGCCACCCAGGTGTGCCATCATCGTGGATTCTTAAACAAGGGTCCACAGAATACGTGGCAGAGGGACTCAAAGGGCTCACAAGCCCTCAGAAATGCAGGCAGGTATGCACATTACTTCTGAGGAAAATGTCTGTGGCTTTAGGAGACTCTCAAAAGGGTTTATGATCAAAGAAAGTTAAGAATCATGATCAATTTTACATCCTTTTGGTCATGTACTCATTGTGACAGTAACAGTCAAAGCTAATTGTGCACATTTACTTTGTGCTTCCACTGCTGGGGGTCGTTTCGAGGTAGTACATTCTCCAGAATCATTTAAAGCACTTCCTAAACATTTGAGTTATGTTCTATTTTATATCTGAATTGCAGTTTGCTACTTTACTTATGATCAGACATTTACACTGCTTCCAAAGTTGAATATATTACTTTTTTAAAAAACTGCAATCAATCAACATAGGACTTTGGCTAAAAAAGATAAAGACAGGAGTGATTTTAACATTTCTAGAAGGGAAACTAATTTTTTTTTTTAAACACTTATCCACTTATTTTAGAGATAGTGACAGTGACAACACGAGCAGGGAGGAAGGGCAGAGGGAGAGGGAGAGAGAATCCCAAGCAGACTCCACACTGAGCAGGGAGCCTGATATGGGGCTCAGACTCACAACCCTGAGATCGCAACCTGAACCAAAACCAAGAGCCAGATACTTAGCCGACTGCGCCACCCAGGCGCCCCAGAGGGAAACTAATTTTCAGTACTCTCTCTGCACAGAACTGTGTGGCCCCAATCTGTTAGCATGACATACCTGATTACAAATGAATCCGTACGGGCCCAGTGTGGCATCTGCAGCAGCTGTAACAGGATTTCTTATAAACAGGCCAGAGTCAGGCGGTTAATAATGGAGACTTGGTAGTACTCTCCAGGAAAGCAAAGCCACTTGTTTCATGGTCTAAGTGATGAAGCAAATGTTTTTGTGTCCGCATGAAGCAGTACCACATACACACCCTCCTCTGACTGACTTAACCCAGCAGCCCGCTGGTGGGGCCTGAGGACTGCGGCTGGCCTATCACCCTTCCACACCTCACATTTCGTGGTCTCAGAGCAGGGACCTTTCACTGAGTAGTCTCATCCCAGACGTGAGGTCCTTCCTTGGAGAGAAAGTGTGCCCTGTCCCCACGAGGACCGAGGGGGCAGTGCCAGGACTGATACCATCTCCAGACAGGACAAGAAGTCTTTGAGTAGATTAGAAAGGACACATGCTCTCTCCGTGGACAGATCCCTGAATGGCCAGTTGACATTCTGACTTTGCTAAACCAAATGCCTGTTTTTCTTGAGACTTCTTAAGGTATTAGCAGGATATGGCCCTGGGTCGCCAGAAATGGGCCAGTGTGTGCTGAGTTCTCCGCAGGTCAGTGGACGGGCACCCCGCCAAAGCCGCCCCTGCTCCCACGCCACAGTACCTCACCCTCATGTCCTGTCTGTGCTCCTTGGCACGGTCACGGGGCAGAGGGAAGGGACGGCCTTGAAAGGCTGGAAGCCCCAGGCAGGAAAGGCAGCTCTTTGGTTGTTGCTACAAGCCTCGCTGCAAGGCTGGACCCTGGCCCCGTTGCAGTAGCCCACCCATCTGGCGTCCCATTTCGGCCACATCTTCCATTTTTAAAAAGGAGACCCCTTGGGCCTAAGCTGCTAGTCACACAAGCTAAAGTAACGCTCCCTTCTGGGGAAGTGCTCCTTTTAAAAGATTCCCGAAGATGAGGAAGTCTTCCAGAAACCAGGCTCTGGTGGTGGAACGGGGCGTGCCAGGCACGAAGGGGCAGGCTGGGCCGGGCTCTGAGGAGAGCTGCCCGATTCCCTGGCCGCGGCCGGCTCTGCCACAGTGCTGGCCAGCCTGGTGCTTTCTGTGCCTGGTTTCTCTCGCATCCAGATCTAGGCAGTGAAGGGCAAGGAAAGACAGGATAGACTGTCTACCCAGGCAGAGAAGTCCTGGTCATCCCCCAAACCCCTTCTGGTCTCCAGAAGTCTCCTCAATGGGGGATACTCGCCTTAGCTTCCACAAAGAGCAGGGGTCTAATTTAATAGAAAATGAGGCACAGGATGGGCAGACAAAGGCAGGCCTGCCCGCTACAAAGCAGTTCTATACTTCCAGAAAGGCACCACCCCCCACTTTACCACATGGGGACCTTTGCTTTCAAGACCAGTCGGCACAGGATTTTCTGGACTGTGCGTGGGGTCAGTTACGTGTTGTCTCCCAGGTGGGTGAGAGCCTTGGGATTTCAGGACTAACTGGGGCACCTGGGTGGCTCGGTCGGTTAAGCGTCTGCCTTCGATTCAGGTGATGATCTCAGGGTCCTGGGATTGAGCCCCACATCGGGCCCCCTGCTCAGCAGGGAGCCTGCTTCTCCCTCTCCCTCTGCCCCTCCCCCCTGCTTGTGCACGTGCTCTCATAAATAAGAAAATCTTTAAAAAAAAAAAAAAGGGATTTTAGGGCTAATTAAGGGCCCCTCGTCCTGTCTGAGCAATCACCCCTCAGCACTGTCTGTCTCCCATTACACTGGACTGCGTGGTCACTGAGCAGAACGTAGGTGGGTTCAGGAGATAACTATCTGCCCCCTAAAAGTGGGGCAACAGGATTGTAGGAGAACAGGAGGTGTCCCCCTCGGCACCGACTATAATTCCTGTGTTTGCCTCCCAGACGTTCACGAGAATGTGCGCCATGGAGGAGAACGAATATGTCGACCTCGGGTTCTTCAACACTTCCAGTGACGGCAGCCAGGGGCATAAACGCTTCCTAGAGTTCCGCAAGTTCTTTCTGCCCTCCGTGTACCTGGTGGTGTTCATCTGTGGCCTGCTGGGTAACTCGCTGGTGCTGGTCGTATACATCTCCTACCAGAAGCTGAAGAGCCTGACAGATGTGTTCCTGATGAATCTGCCCTTGGCTGACCTGGTGTTTGTCTGCACTCTGCCCTTCTGGGCCTACGCAAGCATCCACGAGTGGGTCTTTGGCAAGGTCGTGTGTAAAACCCTGCTGGGCATCTACACTCTGAACTTCTACACATCCATGCTCATTCTCACCTGCATCACCATGGACCGCTTCACTGCAGTGGTTCGGGCCACCAAGGCCTACAACCAGCAGGCCAGGCGGATGGCCTGGGGCAAGGCCATCTGCTTGCTCATCTGGGTGATCTCCCTGCTGGTTTCCCTGCCACAGATCATCTACGGCAACGTCCATTATCTCGACAGGCTTGTCTGTGGTTATCACAATGAGGAGATTTCCACTGTAGTTCTTGCTACCCAGATGACACTGGGGTTCTTCCTGCCACTGCTCACCATGATGGTGTGCTACTCCGTCATCATCAAGACCCTGCTTCACGCCCGAGGCTTCCAGAAGCACAAGTCTCTGAAGATCATCTTCCTGGTGGTGGCTGTGTTCCTGCTGACCCAGACGCCCTTCAACCTTGTGAAGCTCATCCACAGCACGAGCTGGGAGTACGCCACCATGACCAGCTTCCACTATGCTGTCATTGTTACAGAGGCCATTGCCTACCTGCGGGCCTGCCTTAATCCTGTGCTCTATGCCTTTGTTGGCTTGAAGTTCCGGAGGAACTTCTGGAAACTCATGAAGGACACTGGCTGCCTCCCTTACCTGGGGGTCTCGACTCAATGGAAGTCTTCCGAGGATGCTTCCAAGACCTGTTCTGCCTGTCACAACGTGGAGGCCACCAGCATGTTCCAGCTGTAGGCCCTGCCTGGGCTTGGAGAGCTGCTCGGGAGCTTGCAGGAGTACGGCTGTGTGCTCTGGATGCGATGAGGGAGGCTTTGTTTATGGCTTGCGCTTTCTCATGGAGAAGTCACCCAACCCTGTGGTTGGTGTGGGACGCTGCTTCTCAGGCATGAACACATTCTGCTCTCCTCTTGAACCCCCAGGCCTAAAGCTCAGTGTGCGGGGGGGGAAGCTCTAAGAACCGGAAGGGCTTTCCTTCCTCTAGCCCCAAGAACGCTAGCTCCCAGGGAATGATGTGTGACCCTTAAGACCTTAGGTTCTCCTTCCTGAGGACTGGGACTAAACGCTGAAGAGGGGAGCCTGGCCACACAGCTGCTGAGGGCAGGTGATACTCCAGGCTCCCCAGTTCAGAAGACTCCTCTGGTCACTGGGAAGCAGGGAGATTAGAACAGCCATGAAAGTGAGTCCTGGGCCACATGGCTGGGACCTCAATCACCAGGCACCTGACAGAAATGAGAACAGGCTTTGCCTCACCTGGGGGCTGGGCCTTTATATAGAGAGATGCTTATGTTCTCTCTGATTAATCCTGGAAGGAGGAACACCAGGGAACATGAATGGGCCCAAACAAATTAGTCAGCTGAGGATTCCAGGGGTCCATAGAATGTTAGGAAAATGTGCAGAGCAGCATTTCAGACAATCGTGAATCTAAGCGGCATTTCTGAAATGTATTCTTTGGTGGGTTTGCTCATTTAAAAACTAAATTGTCCAATGCCTGATACACGCACGCACATATAAATCATGTATCAGTGTATATAGAATACAATCACGCCTGTATCAAACAGCATATGATTTTCATGACGAAGAAATAAAACCTTTTTAAAGTCTCTAAACTATGTTTATCCTTTGGCACATTCTACTTTATTATTTTTTTTAAAGATTTTATTTATTTGAGAGAGAAAGAATGAGACAGAGACAGCATGAGAGGGGGGAGGGTCAGTGGGAGAAGCAGACTCCCCGCTGAGCAGGGAGCCCGATGCGGGACTTGGTCCCGGGACTCCAGGATCATGCCCTGAGCCGAAGGCAGTCGCTTAACCAACTGAGCCACCCAGGCGTCCCAGGCACCTTCTACTTTACTGTGGTATGCCTGGAATATACGGAAAAGTGATTACTTACAGGCTCGGAGCATAGGAAGCAAGTTAAAATTGCAACCTTTCAGGGCACTGCTCTGTCAAGGAAATGGAATATACCAGTGATCACTCCTTCACTGTGGCTTTCAACCTCCTGACCAAACTGTGAAGTACATTTGTATAACCTCCTCAAAATGGTCACAGGATGAGGCAATTCTAAATGTCAGGCACTTGAGTATGTTTATTAGATCCTAGCAATCTGCTCAGTAGGTAAAGTTGCCTTTTTGGCTCATGCTTTACAAAACCACTCACCAAAACGGAGAGAACCGATCGCCAGCAGTGAAAGGGAGCGCACAGGGCGGTGGGCCGGACCCGGCTTAGCAGTGTGGCTCTGGGGTCCGGACTGACCGGAGTGGAATCCTGGCTTGGCTCTCACTCGTTGGCTAGACCAGTCGGTAATCTCTTTAACCTCTTTTGTTTTGGTGAAACGTGGGCCATAACAGGACCGCCTCTGGGGGCTGGCGAGGGGAGGGCTTGAGATGACGTGTACAAAATACACTCAGCACAGTGTGCATTGGGGGGGGGGCGCTGCAAGGATGGCAACAGCAGCACGAGAACCAGCGACACACAGAGGCCGCGGGTCGTCCTTTGTGAGCTGGCAAGGCGCGGAGTGTGTGCTTCGTGCCTCCAGGGCTGTGTGGCACGTCCCCTACACTCTGGTCCAGCTGCGCAGGCCCACATGAGCCTCCCTACTGTCTCCCGCTCGTGCCTAAATGCACCCACGAGAGCAGCTGCTTCCAGGGTAGCCAGGCCACGTGGACCCAGAGCTTCCTCGCTCAACAAAATCTGCCCTTTCTGTGGTGACAAGGCTGACTTTCATCGTCTTTAAATTGGCTTCAGGGTGCCTGGGTGGCTCAGTCGGTTAAGCGACTGCCTTCGGCGCAGGTCATGATCCTGGAGTCCCGGGATCGAGTCCCGCATCGGGCTCCCTGCTCCGCGGGAATCCTGCTTCTCCCTCTCCCACTCCCCCTGCTCGTGTTCCCTCTCTCACTGTGTCTGTCTCTGTCAAATAAATAAATAAAATCTTTAAAAAAAAAAAAAAAGGGTGCCTGGGTGGCTCAGTTGGTTAAGCGACTGCCTTCGGCTCAGGTCGTGATCCTGGAGTCCCGGGATTGAGTCCCACATCGGGCTCCCTGCTCGGCAGGGGGTCTGCTTCTCCCTCTGACCCTCCTCCCTCTCATGCTCTCTGTCTCTCATTCTCTCTCTCTCAAATAAATAAAATCTTAAAAAAAAAAAAAATAGAAGTAGTGTGGCCCTGCTGAAATTTAAAAAAATAAATTAAAATAAATAAATAAATAAATTGGCTTCAAATACAAAACAAACAAAAACACACACACAAAAAAACAGGAAAAAAAAAACTGGCCTCAAAGTGGGAGTTTCTGTCACCCTCCTTTGTGAGTTCACCTTGAGGGTCAGCACTTCTGACAGCGGGGCCACCAGCCCCTGGCTTCCACAGAACGAGACAGAGAGGCCCTACCCGGAAAGGAGGATGTGAGGAGGCAGGGAGCCAGGGGCCCTGCGGGACCGCTACACGTTCCCACGAGGGAAGTGGTGCGGTGTGACAGGCACAGCAGGGCTCTGAGGTCACTCAGACGCCAGCTCAGTGGCTGCTCCAACTCTGTGCATCCTTGGGCAAGCCACTCAGCCTCCCCAAGGCCGGTTCAGCACCCACAGCACACCACACCCTCCCTCCAGGACTGCTCCTGAGGCCTGGACAGTGCACTAGGAGGGCCAAGCTGGGGGCTGCCTGGCCACGGCAACAGAGGGGCAGCTGCGGGGATCGCTGGCTTCCCCCTAACCAGGTGGCTACCAGGCTGAGCCAAACAAGACCGGGCACCCATCAGGCCATGTCCCGGCCCAGGCCTGTGTTACACGCCTTCTCTCCAGGCTCCCTGCAGAAATGCTGTGCCCCTCCTTCTACAGCTTAGGAAAGCTCCGGACGGCACAGCCATGGACTCCTCCTTTATCTTCTCTGTATCCTCAGTCACTCATCGCCCCTGCATCTCTGGGCCCTTATCTGCTACACCCGAGAGTAGATATTTTCCCAAGCCCTCCCCTGCGTATACAGCATCGCTGCCAACAGAGGCGGGCGCAGCGCACGGAGGTTACAGAGTGCTGTTACGTCTTGATTTTGTTCTGTCCACATAACAGCCCCATAAGGGCAAGTTCCCAGCCTCAACCCTCCTGGGCTCCTCCCCCTGACTCTGCTCATACACACCAGCACATGACGGGGTACAGGTGGGGGGGGAGCGGTTTGAGGCCCTGGACGGCCACACTGTCTGAGACGTGGTGAGCACAGGGGGACCCCTATTCCAGGGGCTGCCTGGGAGCCAGAAGCCCAGGTGACTTCAGTAGGCATTCGGGACGAGGCACAGGTGCTGTAGGAAGAAAGGGCTGAAGCTGCCCCTGTGGGTGGCGGGGAGGGGAAGGGGCAGGGAGCACGGGGCCCAGGAGTGGAGGGGGTGCTCGCTCTGACCTTCTCCACCAAGGGCCCCTCCAGGCAGCGCCTGTTCCGGCGGCCTGGGCCTCCATGGTCTGGGGTAACTCCCAACACCGTTCGGTGGGAGGCCTAGCACTATCATCCCCCTTTTTCAGGTGAGGAAACTAGTTCAAAGAGATGAATACCTGCCGAAGCTCACACAGCAGAGCGAGGGCTAGGCCTCCAGGGAGCAGCCTCTCTCTCTGCTGGCCAACGGAGGGTTCCTGCAGCTGATGGACTCAAGGTACCCGCCAGCTCTGGAGTCATCAAGGGGGAGATGGTGGGTTACCCCAAGCACAAGGCGGCTTTCTAACCTTAACCATCCTTACCATATCCTGTTCTCGTGTTGTTTCTGAGATGCAGGCATCACATCTCCTGGCTGGTGACAAACCCACCATAGCCCCCACAAAGCACTGTGACCACGAAGGGCCAGTCATGAAGCAATTACTGGCAAAGGGGCTCGGAGGCGCAGGGACAGTCTCTACGAGTTTGGCTCAGTATCACTGGGCATCTGAGCGGTCTTCCTTGGAGAAGGACTGGGGTACTAGAGACAAGGTACAGGGCACAGCTCAGCCCCTGACACCACAATGCATGCGGAGCATCACAGACACAATGCGCCTCCATGGAAGGCTTCCCAGGCGCCAGGCCCTGGGCTCAGTGCTTGACGTCATACGGTCTGTTTGTCTGGTAACCAGAAGGGGAGGCCAGGCCTGGGTGGAAGCTGAGCAGAGGCCAAGGGACCCAAGGCCCAGCCCTGCTACTGGCTGACGAGAGCTTTCTTTCTGTCTCTGCCTGCCACCTCAGTCCTGAGCACAGACGGACACTTGGCCCATGGAGAAGGCTCAGGGTGGGCCTGGATGAGTGTGGGGAGCAGGTGCGAACAGGCATGTCTGGAGGGCTCTGAAGAATGCCATCTTTTCTCCCCAGGTGAAGGGGCTGTGCTTCTGTTTCTTGCCACTATCCTAGCTCTGAACCACGTCGGGTGGGCCGGTGGGCGGTTGCTCAAGGGTGTGGGGACCTCTCCCTGTCCGTTCCCTGTACCAGGAGGGGCGAGGCAGACAACTTCATTAGCCTAAGAATGTGTCCATGTGGGGAGGAGTGGACACGGGGCAGGGGAGGGTGGGCAGGCTTCTGATGTGCAAATGGGGAGGTGGGACCCAGAGAAGAGAGCTGAACTCTTCAGAACTAACCTACAGCCTGTGGATGGAGGGAGGGGCTCTGGGCTCAAAGCCTAGCGCTGACACTTAGAGCCACGTGACCGGGAGCGGCTTCTCTGGCCCCTGGAGGCTTCCGCAGCTTTAGCTCCTATGCCTGGAAGGGTTGGGCAGGGACTGAGCAAGGCCACATGTAGA